TTACAATCTAGATGAATTTATAGTCTACATTCTCATCAAATGATCATCTTTCAGTGTATTTCATACATGCCACTATCAGAAAACTAAACTAGAAATTGTCCTTAAGTATTTTTCTACTTATTACTCTATGAGAATATACACTTAACAGAAATTTTGTTCTAATCCATTAGTCTCAACCAATGCGGCTTGCAATTAATAAATTGCCAATTCCTGGCAAGAGATCTATATTTGTAAAGGGAGCAAAAACAGGAGGTGTCTTTTTTTTTTTTTCAGTTGGTTGTAGGGCTTGAACTCTGGGCCTGGATACTGTCCCTGAGCTCTTCAGCTCAAGGCAAGTGCTCTACCACTTGAACCACAGCACCACTTCCAGTTTTCTGGTGGTTAATTGGAGATAAGTCTCACGGACTTTTGCTGCCTGGGCTGGCTTTGAACCATGATCCTCAGATCACAGCCTCCTAAGTAGCTACGATTTCAGGTATGAGCCAGCAACAGCCAGTAGGAGGTGTTTTTAACAACAACCCAATTACACATTATGTGAAGACAAAAAAGAAAAGGACAAATATCATCTCCCAATAGTTTGTCTTCTTCACAATATTTTTTTTTCTATTTTTCTATTTTTCCAAATTCCTTACCAAGATACATGTGTCTTTTTTTATTTTTTTGTTTTTTTTTTTTTTTGGGTCCAGTTGTGGGGCCTGAACTCTGGGCCTGGGTGCTGTTCCTCAGCTCTTCAGCTCAAGGCTAGCGCTCTACCACTTGAGCCACAGCGCCACTTCCGGCTTTTTCCTTTTTGCTTATGTGGTGCTGAGGAATCGAACCCAGGGCCTCAGGCATGCAAGGCAAGCACTCTACCACTGAGGCACCTTCCCAGCCCGTCTTTTTTTTTTTTTTTTTAATGCCTGGAATCCCAGAACTCCGGAGACTAAGGCAAGAAGATTTGAGAGTTCAAGGCCAGCCTGATTACATAGAAAGACCTGGTCTCAAAAATAATTAATTTAAACTAGGAACCGGTGGCTCTCACTGTAATCCCAGCTACTCAGGAGGCTGAGACACGAGGATCACAATTCAAAGCCAGCCCAGGCAGGAAAGTCCATAAGACTCTTATCTTCAATTAATCACCAGAAAACCAGAAGTAGTGCTATGGCTCAATTGGTAGTGCCACTCACCTGGGGCTGAAGAGCTCAGAGACAGCACCCAGGCCCAGAGTTCAAGCCCCATGACAGACAAAAATAATAATTAATTAATTTAATTAATTAGCTGGGTGCTGGTGGCTCACACCTGTAATCTAAGCTACTCAGGAGGCTGAAATCTGAGGACTGCATTTGAAGCCAGCCCAGGCAGGAAAGTCTGTGAAACTCTTATCTCCATAAACTATCCAGAAAAAGCCAAGTGGTGCTGTGGCTCAACTGGTAGAGTGCTAGCCTTAAGCAAAAGCAGCTCAGAGGCAGTGCCCAGGCCTTGAGTTCAAGCCCCAAGACTGGCAGAAATAAATAAATAATAATAAAATTAAATATTAGTTAATTAAAAATAGACAATCCATATCCTCCTTCCTCAAAACCATTCTTTTGAAAGATGCCAACACACTATCCATAAAGATTATTGGTTCATCTCAAATCTTTCTCTAACTTCAGAAAGTGACAACACAACCTATGACTCTCCTAAATTATCAAAGACAACTGATAGCAAAACCAACAAGAATCAACTGTCCAAATCCAAATCCAAGTACTCCACTTAGAAGATATTTAGTCCACAATGCTGCTCAATTAGAGCATGATCCATAATGAAGATATTATTGCTGACAAGGGAGGCAGAAGGAGATCTGGGTCATTCTTCCATAACTATTAGTTCCTTTCAAAGCAATAAAGAAAAGTCTGTATTAGAACAGCATTTAGCTGACAATGAAAGAACAAAGGCTCACGATGCAATTCACTTCCATCAAGGTATCTAAGGAGGAAAAAAGTAGAGATAAAAATACCTAGCTGGGGGGCTGGGAAGGTGGCTCAGCGGTAGAGTGCATGCCTTGCAAGCATGAGGCCCTGGGTTCGATTCCTCAACACCACATAAACCGAAAAAGCCGGAAATGGCGCTGTGGCTCCAGTGGTAAGCACTAGCCTTGAGCTGAAGAGCTGAGGGACAGCGCCCAGACCCAGAGTTCAGGCCCCATGACCAGCAAAAAAAAAAAAAAAAAAAACTAGCTGGGCCAAGCACTGGTGACTCATGCCTGTAATCTTAGCTATTCGGGAAGCTGAGATCTGAGGATTGTGGATCAAAGCCTGGATAGGAAAGTCCATAAGACTCTTACTTCCAATTAACTCCCAAAAAATGCAGGAGTGGAGCTGTGGTTCAAATAGCACAGCCCTATCCCTGAGCATTTCTGCCCTGAGTTCAAGCCCCAGGACCAGCACAAAAACAAACAGGTAGTGGGTACCTGTGGCTTAGAAGGATGAGCTCTGAAGTTGAGGTTCAAAGCCAGCCCAGGCAAAAGTCTGAGAGACTCTCCAATTAATCACCAAAAAGCCAAAAGTGAAGTTGTGGCTCAAGAGCACCAGCCTTAAGTGAAAAAGCTAAGAGATGTGCCAAGGCCCTGAGTTCAAGATCTAATCTGGCATAAAAACATACAAAAGTGGGGCTGGGAAGGTGGCTCAGTGGTAGAGCGCTTGCCTTGCATGCCTGAAGCCCTGGGTTCGATTCCTCAGCACCACATAAGCAGAAAGAAAAAAAAGCCAGAAGTGGCACTGTGGCTCAAGTGGTAGAGCGCTAGCCTTGAGCTGAAGAGCTGAGGGACAGCGCCCAGGCCCAGAGTTCAGGCCCTGCGACCAGACCCCCCTCCCCCACAAAAAAAAAAAAAAAAAAAACATAAAAAAGTACTTAGCTGGAAATTGGAAATTTTCTCTAATGGTTACTTACACTGGTGATCCTTCCATGTGGTGATAACTGGGGTCATCACTACCAAAAGTACCAAGTCCATGGACCACAAATATTCCAAAGATACCAGTAAAAACAAATTGGACTCTAGGTGGTAGACCCAATGACAACTCTTTTCCACTCATAATCTTTGAATCCTCTCAACAATCCTATGAAGTTGAAATGAAACTGAGTTACAGAGCTTAAATAACTTGCCCACAGATACACAGTGACAGTCACATGGTGATGTTTTGGAGGTAGAGCTGCTGGGTAGTAACTGGGATTAGGTAAGGTCACCAAGGTAGGGTTCCCATGATGGGACTGGTGTGTAAGAGACCTGAGCTGAAGCACATTTCCTCTCTCATCTAGTGGCACCTTCTACCATGCAGCAAAAAAAACAGCATTACATGCTGCCATCATGTTCTTGAACTTCCCAGTCTCTAGAAATGTGAGCTAAATGAATATGTATTGCCTGTAAATGACCTGATCTCTGCTGTTTTGCCATAGCAACAAATATCATATTAAGACTGAAACCTCTCCAGAAAAACAAGAGGCCATCAGTAAAGAAAACCTTCTTTGTAAAAGATACTTTTTTATTTTTCAGTACTGGGGATTTTCAGCCACTCCTCACTGACAACTACTCACAAGTTCACAGTACTCTCTTCAGATAACTTTTTTTTTCTTTTCTTGTTTTTTATTTTGTTTTTGCCAGTCCTGGGCTTGAATTCAGGGATTGGACACTGTTCCTGAACTTCTTTTGCTCAAGGCTAACACTCTACCACTTGAACCACAGCACCACTTCTGGCTTTTTCTGTGTATGTGGTACTGGGCTTCAAACCCTGGGCTTCATGCATGCTAGGCTACCACTGAGCCCCATTCCCAGCCATTCAGATAACTCTTTAAAAGGAGTTCTGCCAAATCATACTGCTGACAACAGAGGCCATCTACCAGCATTTATTAGGCAACAGATTTTCTAGTCTCATTTCATCTCTTCACATCAAATAACCAAATAGGCACCACTCCCACTTTACAGATGAGAACACTAAGAGAGGAAAGTCATTCAGCCCAAGGTCATGAGTCTGGTAAGTAATTAAATGACTATAGACAAGCCTTTGAAAGTCTTGGGTTTTAATGATTAAAATAGGAGCTCCTGAGCCAGGTGCCAGTAGCTCATATCTGTAATCCTAGCTACTCTGGAGGCTGAGATCTGAGGATGCGGTTCAAAGCGAGCCCAGGCAGGAAAGGCTGTGAGACTCTTATCTCCAATAAACCACTAGAAAACCGAAAGTGGTGTTGTAGCTCAAGTGGTAGAACACTTACCTTGAGCTGAAGAGCACAGGGATAGCACCCAGGGCCAGAGTTCAAGCCCCACGACCCACCAAAAAAAAAAAAAGAAAGAAAGAAAAGAAAAAGAAAAGGAGCTCCTGGTAGGTGCTCATGCCAGTAATCTCAGTAATCCTAGCTACCCAGAAAGCTAAGATCTGAAGATCAAAGTTCAAAGTCAGGCAGAGCAGGAAAGTCCCTGAGACTCCTGTCTCCAATTAACCACAAAAAGCTGAAGTGGAGCTGTGGCTCCAGTGGTACAGCACTAGCCTTGAACAAAAAAGCACAGGGAGCTAGGCGCCAGTGGCTCACGCCTATAATCCTAGCTACTCAGGAGGCTGAGATCTGAGGATTGCAATTCAAAGCCAGCCCAGGTAGGAAAGACCATGAGACTCCTATCTCCAATAAAACCACTAGAAAACCGGAAGTGGCGCTGCAGCTCAAGTGGTAGAGCTTTCGTAGCTCAAGTGGTAGGGCTTTCGCCTTGAGCTGAAGAGCTGAAGAACAGCGCCCAGGCCCAGAGTTCAAACCCATGACCGACCAAAAAAAAAAAAAAAGCACAGGGACAGCATCCAGGCCTTGAGTTCTAGCCCCAAGACTGGCACACACATGTGCACGCACACATGCGCACACACGCATGCCAAACACACACACACACATACACACAAAGGAGCTCCTCCTGAACTATCCTCTGGAGAGCTACCTTGAACCAGCAGATCTGAGATCTGCTCCATCCATGCTCAGGACCAACCCCATCACACCCAAGCACTTACCTGAATCTCTTCATTTTCATCTACTAGGAGGAAACTCACAACCTTCTCCGTCATCCTCTTCCCCTTGGTCTCCTCATCCATCTCCTCTGCCTCTAGGGACTCCTGGACCTTACTGACATGGTACACAGTAATAGGGTGCCTCCTCTTGTTACCTCCAGAATGAGTTCTCTTTTGGCACTCCAGGCACAAGTTGATTTTGCAGGTCTGACATCTCACAGCTGCCCTTTGTCTAACACCTGGAGAATGCCCATTGGGGCCTTTGCAGGGGTCACAGTAAGGGACGTGGCCAGCTTTGAGTCTTATCCGCTCATGGTTCCGCAGGCGCTCTTGCCGATGGAGTTCTTCCTCACAGCGCAGGCACTGCAAACTACAACACTCATCACACTCAAAGATAGCTTCGTCAGTCCCGCTGCAGGCATAACTCTCCTGGCACATCAGCCCAGGATTCAGGCCCTTCTCTGCTAGGGAAGTCTGGGCACTCATAACTCAGGTAATGAAACTACCCACTCTGTAACAGTCACCAAGCTTTCCCCAGAAGTGAAGACAAAGGTTTTGAGTCTGCAGACTCCACAGAACTTACACAAGGCTCTAGATGCTTTAAAAAAAAAAAAATCTATCTTTACACACACACAAATGTTTGAGTTTGGGGTTTGTTTTTTTCTTTTCTTTTTTTTCTTCTTCCAAGACTCTTGTATCAGCAGCAATGTTGATCTTGTTTGATGGTTTTATCCTCCATAAAGTGCAGGGAAAGATGTGGTCAAAATGAACTTCGAAGTTGTTGATGACTGAGAAAGGTCTGTTGGGTTCACAAAGAGGGGCTCATGAGCTGGGCCTCAGCCACGAAGTTTCAGTAATGAAATAAAGTGGTCAGGAGTTTTTCAATATAATTCAACTTCAAGTAACTATGTCAAAAGATACCTAGAATAGAGGAAGGAAAAGGATTTCACTCATAAAAAACAGAAGTGTACCTTAAAATGGCCAGGCACCAGTGGCTTACACCTGTACTCATAGCTACTCAGAAAGCAGAGGCTGAGAACTGAGGATCCAGTTTAAAGCCAGCCCAGGCAATAAAGTCCCTGAGATTCTTATCTCCAATTAAGCACCCAAAAAAAGCCAAAGTAGAGCTATGGTTCAAATGGTAGGGTGCTAGCTTTGAGCAACAAAGCTCAGGCCCTGAGTTCAAGCACCAGGAATACTGTCCAGAAAAGGAAATGCACACTTATTACCTGACTTATAAAATGGTAACCCCCTCCATACAACACCTTATATAATAATAACAACAAGAGGATGGGAAGGTGGCTCGGTGGTAGAGTGCTTGCCTTGCATGCATGAGGCCCTGGGTTCGATTCCTCAGCACCACATAAACAGAAAAGGCAAGAGGTGGCACTGTGGCTCAAGTGGTAGAGTGCTAGCCTTGAGCTGAAGGCAGCACCCAGGTCCAGGGTTCAGCCCCACAACTGACACACATACACACACACACACAAATAATAACAACAACAAAATTATATTTTTTTAAAAAAGAGGGCTAGGAATGTAGCTTAGTGGTAGAGTGCTTGCCTAGTTCCTCAATACCACGTAAGCAGAAAAAGCCGGAAGTGGCGCTGTGGTTCAAGTGGTAGAGTACTAGCCTTGAGCAAAAGCAGCTCAGGAACAGTGCCCAGCCCTGAGTTCAAACCCCAGGAATAGCAAAAAAAAAAAGAAAAAGAAAAAGAGAAGGCCACAATATTCAGAAAACTCTCATCCTGCTTCTAAAACTACTTTGGCTTATTCTTATACTAAAAATTTTATTTCAAAACCATGGATAGAGATCTTCCTTTCAAAAACAAACATAATTGCTAGGCACCAGTGGCTCACGTCTATAATTCTAGCTATTCAGAAGACTGAGATGTGAGAACTGACTTGTGAAGCCAGCCTAGGCAGAGAAATCTGAGAAACTCCTATTTACAGCTACCAGCAAAAAGCCAGAAATGGAGCTGTGGCTCATATAGTAGAGCACCAGCCCAGAGGGAGGAAAGCTAAAGAAGAGCATAAAATCCTGAGTTTATAACCCAGTCAGGTAAGTGCACACACAGGCACAGGCACAGACAGGCACAGGCACAGACAGAAAGACAGACAGACAGACAGACAGACACACACACACACACACACACACACAAAATCTAAAATCCCAAAATTCAGGAGGCTGTAGCAAGAGGATCACCAGTTTAAGGCCTCTCTAGGCTACATAGTGAGATCCTGTCTATAAAACACACAGAAAAGAAAAACATAATACACCACCTCCAACAGTCCTTGGAAGAGTCGTTCTCTGCACCCTCACCTGACTTTACATTTGGAAGGTGGACAAAGACATCTGTAAATAGCATAATAATAATAATAATAAACTTGAAACCCATTAAAGACCTGGGTGTCCAGCTCTCCTTGTAACTGGGCTATTTCAGCTCTAAACACATGCCTAGCCCTAGAAACAGCAGTACAATTTTACGTTCAAAAACATTATTGCACTTCCTTTTGTCCCCTTTTCCTAACTGCAAAAGGGAGTAGGCAACAGGAGGCAGAATTCCTGTACTATGGCCCTCCAAAGCCAGGCCTGCATGAGTCAAAACAAATAATTTTGCTCTTTGTCACTTGAAAACTAAAACTAACTTTAAAATAACTTAAGGAAAAAAAAAACAGGGGAGGGGCTGAGGGAGACAACTGGTGGGCAGGAAAGGGATTTTGGTCACTTCTACGTTTACATTCCTAATTCCGGGTATCCTCAACCCCCATTCCAACACTCCAAGTAAAAAGTCCTCCTTTTCGGATAGTCATTCCTCCCCTCCCGAAATCAAGCCTATCAATCAGATTTTCAGATAAACAAGGAAGGGGAGGGAATAACCAGAAGACCTTATTTACACTCTAATGTGTTCAGCCAGTTCCCTAAACGGAAACCAAAATCAAAACTTGTCGCAATTGAGAGAGAAAAATTAGAAAATCAACTTTCAGAACACCTCCAGCCAGCCAGGCCAAGCAAACAATCAGCCCTTCGGACCCCTACTTACCTCGACGATTCCCTCTACCTCGGTTTCCTCACCCGACCTCCCTCCCGAACACCACTACCACAACCACAGAGGTAAGTGCCGAGTCAAAGAACAAAGAAGGTCCCCCCAAATCGCCCCCAAGCAGGCACAGCCCGGAGCCGAGCCCATTGTTTATACCACCCCACCCCCACCCGAGCCGCACCCGGCCCCCCTTCTTCCCAGGGACAGCGGGAGCCCCAGGACGCTTGCTCGCCGGGTGCTGGGCCGGTGCCCTCCCCACCCTGCCCGCCACGGCCCGGGGATCCCACCGCGGAACAGCTCGGCCTGGCGAGGAGGCGTCGGGGACGGCGGGGCGCTAGTGGGGGTGGGAGGCTGCTCCTCAGGGCACGGGTGGATCCATCCTCATCTCCTTCTCCGCCCCCCTCCTCCTTCGGTGCCTCCCGGGCTTCCTCCTCTCCTGTTGTCAGTTAGGATCAGCTGATCAGAGTGAACTTCTCTCAGCTTGACTAACAGGAAGGCATGAGAGGTGCAGCCCAGCGAGGGAGGAGCGACGAGGGGTGGAGCGCGACGCCGGAGGGACAGGAGTGGCGCGCGATGACTTCTGGGAGTTGTAGTCACATGGCGCATCCTCTACGACATATCCTGAAAGTGTGGCCCTCTAAATGACTACAACTCCCAGAAAGACACTGCCGCCCTTGCTAGCGGGCGGTGGAAAAACGCCATCGAGCATCTCGGGAGTTGGAGTCCTTGAGTGAACTGTTTTTTGAGGATTTTTTTGTTTTTGTTTTTGTAGGTTTTAACGCTTTGTTTAGGATTATGACCAGGAAAGGAAGGGTGTAAATTAGAAAACTAATGCAATAATGTTTAGTGTAAGTGGGAAATGGCGAGCCAAATAATATGATTTTAGGTAACCTTCATTACACATCATTTCTTTAGATATGTAGAAAAGTAGGCAATTTCTACTTTCCTAATTTCACCAGACACCAAGTAGGTCAAGGACCAGTAAGAATTGACCCGACTGCGGGTAACTCACGCCAGTAATCCTATCTACTCAGGAAGTGGAGATCTGAGGATTGTGGGCAGGTAAGTCTTTCAGACTTTTATCTCCAGTTTAAGCACCAAAAGAGCCAGCAGTAGAGCTGTGGCTCAAGTGGTAGAACACTACTAGCACCAGGCTCAGGACCAGAACAAATAATAAGGTCATCATCATCATCATCATCATCATCAGTTTTTTTGTTGTTGTTGTTTTTTTTTTTTTGGTCGGTCGTGGGGCTTGAACTCTGGGCCCCCTGTCCCTCAGCTCTTCAGCTCAAGGCGAGCGCTCTACCACTTGAGCTACAGCACCACTTCCGGTCTTCTGGTGGTTTATTGGAGAAAGGAGTCTCACGGTCTCTCCTGCCCGGGCTGGCTTTGAACCGCGATCCTCAGATCTCAGCCTCCTGAGTAACAGGCGTGAGCCACCAGCGCCCGGCTCATCATCAGTTTTTTAAAATCAGAAAATACACTTTGGGGGAGTTGTTGTTGTTGTTTCCCTCCAAGGTTATCCATCATTTCTTCTTACATTCTGGTGGTTTTATACGCCTTTTTTTTTTTTTTTAATTGGTCGTGGGCTTAATCTCAGGGCCTGAGCTCTTCAGCTCAAGTCTAGCACTCTACCACTTGAGGCACATTGCCACTTCCGTTTTTCTAGTGGTTTATTGGAGATCAGAGTCTCACGAACTTTCCTGCCCGGTCTGGCTTTGAACCTCTATCCTCAGCCTACTGACTAGCTAGGATTATAGGCCTGAGTCACTGGCGCCCAGCTTTTTCCCCTTTTTAAACTAATTTTTATTATATCACCACTATACTAAGCTCTGACATGGTTCTTTTTCTGACTATTCCCTACATAAATTTTCCCTACATAAAGGTTCAGGCTTCAGTGCCTACTAATGGGTCCACAGTTACCAGACTTTTCAGAAATAGCTTTATATTTGTTTAGTGCTTTTGCTTTTTCTTCTGTTTATTTCTTGGAACACACTGAAAGAAAGCTTAATGTAGTATAACTGAAGGTCTTCCTTCTCCCCTTTCCTCCCCATCCTTTTATGTATCTAAATATGGAATATGAGTTGGGCACTGGTGGCTCAAGCCTGTAATCTTATTAGGGAGCTGAGATCTGAGGATGGTGGTTCAAAGCCAGCCTGGTCAGGAAACAAGAAGTAGTGCTGTGGCTCAAGGGGTAGAGTGCTAGACTTGAGCTGAAGAGCTCAGGGACAGCGCCCAGGCCCAGAGTTTAAGACCCATGACTGAAAAAAAAAAAAAAAAAAAGGTGGAATATAAATATAAAAGATTGACTTCCTTATTCCCCTAGGTCAAGCAAAACACCAGGTGTACTCTCTCCTTCTTGTCCAAAGGCAGGCCATTCCAATCTTGGCTTAGCTGAAAAACTCCAGGCAGAGCATTCCATTCTGGGCGTGGCCAATGATAAGACCCTTGACCCCCTAGAGACCATAGCCTAGTTTTTATTTTCTGCTTCCTTGTTAAGACCCATATAAACCAGGCCCCAAATCCAGTCCCTTGTGCAACCTCCAAACCCCCAGGGAGGTCTGTGACCCTCACTGGAAATAAATAATCCTAGTTGGTTGACAATCATATCCAATCTATTCCTTTTCTGTTCTCCATTATCTTTTCAGTAAGGAACATTTATCTATGATGCCTAGGGCTAAGTGCTTATTCTAGAAAAGCTTGCAACTATGTAAGTGGCTAGGATAAGTCACTCAATCTTGCCATAAACTAAAAAAAAAATGTACTGTGTGATTTATGAAACCTCTACTAATTTTAATGTTCTATGATTTTTTGTCTTTTCTTTTCTTTTTCTGGTTTTTTTTTTTTTCAAGTCCTGGACTTGATCTCAGGGCCTGGAGCTTCTTTTGCTCAAGGCTAGCTTGAGCTACAGCACCGGTTCTGGCTTTTTCTGTTTATGTGGTACTGAGGAATTGAACCCAGGGCTTCATGCTTGCTAGGCAAGCACTCTATCATGAAACCACATTCTCAGCCCCTGTGATTCTTTCTTGATAATCATTAACTTAAGAGGAAAAAAAAAAAGTGATTTGCCAAAGTCACACAGCATATTGTTGACACACCTGGGACTAGACCTCATCTCCTGATATAAAGTAGTTTTTTGTTTGTTTGTAGAGGTACTGATTCTAAAACTTAGAGCCTAGGAATTGTCCCTTAGCCTTTACCACTCAAAGCTAGAGCTGTACCTGCCATTTGCTTACACCTCCACTTCCAGCTTTTTGCTGGTTAATTAGAGATAAAAGGTCCACAGTCTTTTCTACCCATGCTGGCTTCAAACTTTGTTTGTTTGTTTGGTCAGTCGTGGGGCTTGAACTCTGGACCTGGGCGCTGTCCCTCAGCTCTTCAGCTCAAGGCAAGCGCTCTACCACTTGAGCTACAGTGCCACTTCCGGTTTTCTGGTGGTTTATTGGAGATAGGAGTCTCACGGTCTCTCCTGCCTGGGCTGGCTTTGAACCGCGATCCTCAGATCTCAGCCTCCTGAGTAGCTAGGATTATAGGCGTGAGCCACCAGCGCCCGGCTGGCTTCAAACTTTGATCCTCAACTGTCAGCATTTTGAGAAGCTAAGATTATAGACATGAGACACTGGCACTCAGCTACATTTCATATTTTATTTTTATTTTTTTTGGGGGGGGGGTTGGCCGTGGGGCCTGAACTCTGGGCCTGGGGGCTGTCCCTCAGCTCTTCAGCTCAAGGCTAGCGCTCTACCACTTGAGCCACAGAGCTACTTCCTGCTTTTTTTCTTTTTGCTTATGTGGTGCTGAGGAATCTAACCCAGGGCCTCATGCATGCAAGGCAAGCCCTCTACCACTGAGCCACCATCCCAGCATCCATTTTTTGTTTTTGCTTTCCTCCACCTCCAAATTCCAAGTTTTTTTTTTTTTTTGTTTGTTTTTTGGGGTCCGGTCATGGGGCCTGAACTCTGGGCCTGGGCGCTGTCCCTCAGCTCTTCAGCTCAAGGCTAGCGCTCTACCACTTGAGCGCCACTTCCGGCTTTTTTCTTTTTGCTTATGTGGTGCTGAGGAATCGAACCCAGGGCCTCTGGCATGCAAGGCATGCACTCTACCACTGAGCCACCTTCCCAGCATCCATTTTTTGTTTTTGCTTTCCTCCAAATTCCAAGTTTTAATGTGTATCCAAGAGTAGAAGCTGGATGCTTGCAGCTCCTGCTGGTAATACTAGCTACTCAGGAAGCTGAGATCTGAGGATTGAGGTTCAAAGCCAGCCTGTGCAGGAAAGGCCATGAAACTCTTATCTCCAATTAATCGCTAGAAAACCAGAAGTGGTACTGTGGCTCAAATTAGTAGAGCACTAGCCTTGAGCTGAAAAGATCAGGGACAGCACCCAGGCCAAGCCCTATGACCTATAAAAAAGAAGGAAAGAAGGAAGGAGAAAGCAGGAGAGAGAGGGAGAGGGGCTAGGAATGTGGCTTAGTGGTAGAATGCTTGCCTAGCATGCATGAAGCCCTGATTTGAGTCCCCAGTACCACATAAACACAAAAAAACAGAAGTGGCACTGTGGCTCAAATGGTACAGTACTAGCCTTGAGCAAAATCAAGCTTGGTGCCTAGACCCTAAGTTCAAGCCCTAGGACTGGCAAAAAAGAAAAAAGAAAAGGAAGGAAGAAAGAAAGGAAGGAAGAAAAGAAGGAAGGAATCACATAAGGAATATAAGGGACAAATTCTTCAAGATTCCCACTAAACTTTATTAATTAAAAAAAAAGAATGCCAAACCAATTTTTTCTTTCTTTCTTTTTCTTTTCTTTCTTGTGCTACTTCTGGGGCTTGAACTCAGGACCGCTCACTCTCAACTTTTTCTGCTTAAGGATAGTACTGTACAACTTGAGCCAGAACTCCACTTCCAGTTTTTTTGTAAATATAATTTTGCTGTTATTAACATGCTGTACAAAGGGGTTCCAATTTCATAAATTAGGTAATAAGTACATTTCTTTTTTGGACAATGTCACTTCTTCCTTCCCATTCCCCCAGTTTTTCCCTCCTATCTCTGCCAATAGGTATATACTAAATACTATGACTGCATTTGTTCACCCTTCTTCCTTCCGTTTCTGAGCCTTCTATTTGCCCCCCCCCCTTAAAAAAGACACTCAAAAAATCACACCTATAATCCTAGCTACTCAGGAGGCTGAGATCTGAGGATTGCAGTTCAAAGCCAGCTTGGGCAGGAAAGTCCATGAGACTCTTAACTCCAATAAACCACCAGAAAACCAGAAGTAGCACTGTGCCTCAAGTGGTAGAATTCTTAGCCTTGAGCTGAAGAGCTCAGGGACAGTGCCTAGGCCCAGAGTTCAAGCCCCACAACCAAAAAAAAAAAAAAAAAAAAAGGCAAAAACAAAACCATGTTTCCATTACTTGGAATTCATTTATTTTTTCTTTTTTTCTGATCCTGGGGCTTGAACTCAGGGCCCGGGATCTGTTCCTGAGTCTCTCTGTGTTCAAAGC